CATTTGAACATAGCCCTCCGTATGGCTCCATGCTGTATCCGGGGGAGGTTCGCAATATTTATGCATGCAGGTCGACATAAGCTTATTCTCAAGCTTTCAGGACAGCGCGTGATTCAGCGGGAAGTCGACCGTTCACTGTCGAAGACGTGATTGGGCATGTGGTACGCCGCTTGCCAGTCATACTACTTAGTTCTACTTGCTTCAGCAAGAGCTCTACACAGCCACACCAAGGTTCTCTTCGCAACCACGATCATTATTCTGCGAGGTCTTTGTCTTTCGCAATACTAGTACGTTTCTTGCTTGAAATTTCTTCAAGTAGCAAGTTACTGAGGGGATCCAGGAAGCTGTGCCATGTTCGCTGACCCCTGTGCATCCTGCGGCGCGCATTCCTTTGTCCCGACGGAACGGCAGTCAAACCGCACCGCGCGCGTCGCCACGCTCCTAAAGGGAAACAACGCGCCCCACGACACCGAAAGAGCGCAACTGCGTACTTTTCTGGACGGGGCCCAAGGCGATCTCGCGGAGTATGACGATAAGATGGAACTACTGCTCAAGGACATGAACGATCTCCGCGAGGAGCGGGACAAACTCCATTCCCACATTGAGGACGCTCAGACTGTTCTTCATCCCATTCGCACGCTTTCCGACGACATCCTTCACGAGATATTTGCGCATTGTGTTCCCGAATGGGGGGCTTTGGAGCAGAAACTCCTAAACGAGCCGGACTCGGCGTATTCATCTCTCAATTCCAGCACTGCACCATGGACACTTTCCCAAGTGTGTTCTGGGTGGCGTCGTGTCGCGCTTTCGGCCCCGCGCTTGTGGTCGACGATCATTTTTACCTCTCCAAAGGTCTCGATCCAAAAGCCGAATTCAATCAGAAAGCCGAACAAACTGCCCAAATTCTGCTACAACCTAGGGTTGTTTATGTCGCGTTCTGGAAACGCTGATCTCTCCGTTGCGATAACAATACCAGAGGAAGAGCATATACCGGACATGATATGTGTGCCACTGGCCGTTGCCGCCGCGCGCTGGCGTCGTTTCCACTGCCGAGGCAATAGAAATGAGTTTCCCAGTGCGCTATCGGGGCTTTACTTTGAACGCCTCGAAGAAATTATTCTGTCAGGCATAGAGGAAACTCGAGCCATGGACGAGAAACTTCTCAGGCCATTCCGGGCCGCCCGACAGCTGAAAAGAATCCGCTTTACTGACGACTGGTATGATGGATGTATCGCATTGCCATGGTCCCGGATAACTCATTATGAGTATGATATCTACGAGATGAAGCTCGGTCTCCGAACATTGCCCAATCTTACACACCTAACACTCAATGTTAATCCAAGTGCACAGGTTGATAAACGGCTGTCCAAGCTCTCTTTCCCAAAGCTTCTGTCCCTCTCTCTTACCCTTTGTTCATGCACCTTCTTTTCCGCCCTCCTCCCCCATTTAGAGGTACCAGCCCTCACCGACCTTCGTCTGACGTACCGATTGGGTAACAACAAGCATTGGAATCGCAGCCTCTCCGCTCTCAGTCTTCCCATAACGGACATACTCCCCAAACGATTGACGTCGTTTCACATTGCTTGCGATGTTCCCGACTTTATCGACACAGACGTTGACGTCCTCACGTCATGGCTTCAACTAGCTACCGACGTTACTGCTTTGTCCATCCATCTTCCTAGCATCCCTAATGCCCTTCTCCACGACCTCCGTGTGCAAGCAAAGGGTGACGTGCTGGTACCCCGCCTCAGGTCTTTGGATTTATGGGTTGTTGGCAACTCCACGAAGGACGCGCAGATGTCGACAGCGAAAGTGCTTTCTGTTTTAGAGTCCCGTTCGGGATCGACGCAGAACGTTTCTCGTCTAGAGGAATTCTGCACGAATGTGGACGCTGGGAGGTTTTCGGAAGGAAGGCTGCAGAGATGGCAGGATGTATGTCGGAAGGTCAAGGTCATTTGCCCCAGGTAATCATAATGCAAAACTGAATGGTCAGCGGAGAAACATCCTCGTTACGGTTAACGTTGGTTTAACGTTTATCTTTTGCTTGATGTCATTCCAGTTCTTCGTACGACAATACACATGGAGCGGATCTTTACGAGTTCCACTGTGATGACCGTGTCTCAAAGTAGGCTGTTCGGCTGAGCGGCTGTCCGCATACCCATTACAGAACAGGCGATCAGTAGGTCTCGTAAATCAGTGCTTGTCCTCTAACCGAACGTGAAGCGACTGTGGGCTGGATGTACGCCTAAGACTTCGGCCCCGGCGAATGGTCATTGTATAAATATTGACTGTAGTGCTCTTCGCAAGTCCGAGACTCATCTTACAATATGACGACGCTCGAGTACACGCCCATTGCTGATATCGACAAGGTTACTTGCTTTCCTTCATTCTTTTGAACCACCAACCCACTTCCTGTAGATCCACGCCGAGCTCGCCGCGACATTCAAGTCCGGCCAGCTCGCGTCCATCCCGTTCCGCAAGTACGTCTTGACGCAGATCGGGTACCTCGTGCAGGACAACGCGCAGCGCATCATGGACGCGATGTACGCTGACTTTGGGAAGCCCGCCTTTGAGGCGCATTTGTCAGTCCCTTCCTCTCTCCCTCTTCTCATGACTCACTCAAATATCACAGCACGGAAGTGTATCCGGTCCTGAACGAAGTCGCGGATACGCTCGCGCACCTCGACGGGTGGGCGAAGCCCGAGAAGCCGCCATTTTCGATGACATTCGGCGTCATGCGGCGGGTTATCTACAAGCAAGGCAAAGGCGTGTGCCTCATCATCGGCCCGTTCAACTATCCGCTTAGTATGAATCTTGATCCTCTCGTGCGTCCATTTCCTCCACTACCTAGAGAGTGAAGTGCTGAAGGGTGGGGGGATGGTACTAGATTTCGGCTATCGCTGCGGGAAATAGTGTTGTGCTGAAGCCGTCGGAGGCTACCCCGGCCATGTCTGCGCTGCTTGCGGAGCTGTTTCCAAAGTATGTTGATACGTCGATTGTGCGTGTTGTGAATGGGGGTGTTGAGGAGACGACCAAGGTGAGACACTTGCTTGGTATGAGCTCGCGACGCGTTCTGATTTAAATTAATCTTTCTTATAGCTTCTGGAACTCACATGGGGACATAGTAGATCATCCTCTCCCCTTCATTCATGACACCCCACTCATAACGTACTGTAGTCTTATTCACGGGAAGCGCGCGCGTCGGCCGCATCGTGGGTGTTGCTGCTGCGAAGACGCTGTCTCCAGTGACATTGGAGCTTGGAGGTCTGTCTATCATCGTCGCCAGTGCGCTCCTCTCCTGATATGAAGATTTTCAATGCAGGAATGAGTCCCGTGTTCATCGACGAAACGGCCGACTTGGACCTGGCAGCGCGTCGCCTGATGTGGGGCAAGTGTATCAACGCAGGCCAAAGCTGTGTTGCCCCTGGGTACATTCTCGTTCCGCGAGCACTGCAGGACAAGGTCGCTGAAGCTTTGAAGAAAGCGTACGCTTGCTCATTTCCCGCTCCTCACGATACATCACCGACATTCAATTGTTTAACAGGCAGCTTTCGTTCTATCCACACGGCGCATCGACGCCGGGCGAGTTTGCAAGACTCGTGCACGGGGAGGCGTTCAAGCGCGTTTCGGGGATGCTCAAGAACACAAAGGGGACGATCGTGACTGGGGGTGAGATGGACGCAGAGACGAAGTATATCGCGCCGACGGTGGTGAAGGATGTGGTGTTTGGGGATTCGCTCATGTCTTGGTACGCGACTCATGATCATTCCTCTCACCCAATGTCTGATGTGTGCAGTGAAATCTTCGGTCCTGTGATGCCCATCGTGCCGGTCGACTCGTTTGACGAGGGGCTCGCGTATGTGAGAGCGAACGATCATCCGCTGGCGATGTATGTGTTTTCGAATGATGCGGCTTTCAAGAACAAGAGTGCGTTCTTTATCTTTGTTTTTCTGGTTGTCCGGTTCTAAATTGGCTCGGAGCAGTCGTGAACAGCACGCTGAGCGGCTCTATCGTGATGAACGAGACGATGACCCAGGCCGCCGCTGACGGACTGCCGTTTGGTGGTGTCGGTGCGAGTGGTGTGAGTGACATCTTTCGTTCTCTAATAAAAAAACCCAAGGCTTACTTGTTTTGGTGTTTAGCCGGGGCTCACAACGGCAAGGTTGGTTTCCTCTAAAGGTTTGGACCAGTTCACTTACTCATACGCGCATAGTACGGCTTCGACACCTTCACGCACTTCCGGGCATCACTGGATTCTCCTTCCTGGTGCGCTCTTCTTCCCTCTTCCCACCCTCTTAACCTCTGCATTATCGTAGGGTCGACTACATCATAGGCTTCCGGTACCCACCGTACACCGTGCGTTCTCAGTTCCAGTCATATTAGCACACTAAACATCTCCGTAGTCCAAATCACTGAAGAAATCCGCCGGTATGGTACCGAGTCTCCCGAAACGACCCATGGGCCCGCCGCCGCCGCCGGGTGAAGAAACGTCCTTTACCAAGTGGGTCTTTCTCCTGATTGCGGCTGTTTTCGCAGGCGGTGTGATGAAGAAGAAGGTGGAGGCATGATGACTGCTAGTGTTTTTGTTCAGATGTTGTTTACATTCGCGCCCTTGTATAATACTTACTGACTCTGTGAACTTACGGTGAAAGTCTACTAGACAGATTAAGTGTTATGTAACCTCAGAATTGCGCCACATTTCTCCCACTATGGAACAAAGGCCTTAGTTACAGGAGCAGTTCAAGGGGGAGATTGTGAGTGCGCAGAGCTCACGATGCGCCTCTGTCTTCAGACTGTTGGTTGGAGCAAACGCAGTAGCAGTAGAACTCGAACTTGACATGTGAACATTGAAACCATCCTAATGAAGGCCTTGCTCGTTGCCGCCGTAGGCTGTTTGGCTTCAGAATTCAACAAGAAAACCAACTGTACAATAATAATGTCTTCGGTAGGACAAAAAGCTACATTTCTAAAATGACTAGATCAACGCTTCTGTACCATAGTACGACCAGCCTGACTTGAACAAGCATCTGAAAGTATTGGTTGAATTCACCAAAGTATCATGCTCTACTAGCTGAGCTAAAGTCGCCTGCTTACCAAAATAGGGACGCCTCTATAAGTATTCTGTCTGGGTCGGAATTGCGCCACACCACGATGGAACAAAGGCCTTAGTTACAGGAGCAGTTTAGGGGGAGATTGTGAGTGTGCAGTTCTTCACGATGCGCCTCTGTCTTCAGACTGTTGGTTGGAACAAACGCAGTAGCAGTAGAACTGGAACATGTGAACATTGAAACCACTGTCCTAATGAAGGCTTTCCTCGTTGCTGCCGTAGGCAGTTTAGCTGCGGAATTTAACAAAAAACGAACTGTACCGTTTCTTCAGTTTTCCTATACGACCGGCCTGACTTGAACAGGCACCTGAAAATCCCGAGAAAGTATCATGCTCTCCTAGCTGAGCTACAGTCGCATACTGGCCAAAATAGGGACTGCTTTATATTCTGTCCGGGAACTTTTTGATCCTTTCTTCCTTGATAGCAGCCTTCTTGTTGTAACAGTTTATGGCCTCGTGGTCGCAGACGAATATTGAAGCGGAGTCACGACTGCGGTCGTCCGTCGTGGATGGATGTGATCACGCTCATGATTAGAGGCGAGCAGTAAGTAAACTTGAGCTGCGAGGAGAACTGGAGGAGAAAGAGATTTTCGCACAAAGCGACGAGGATCGATAGTTGTTGAATATTGAAGAAGCGAAGCAGACGCGACTACCGGTATTCATTCGCCGATCTAAGTAACAGAGACGTATATTTCGGGGGTACGGAGACACCACTATTAAGAGTTTCAGGATAAGTACGGCTGGCGCTCGCTCGAAACATGCATTATACAGTGGTCAGGCATAAAGCACTCCACGAGGAGACTCGTCACATTTCGTATAGCGCACGGAGCCGATGGCCTGGAGGGAAAAGAGGTGCATATGTTGGCTATTCACCTTGGTCTTGTAACTTGCGACTTGTCATGCCGTAGAGGAGCGAACGCCTACGCGAAATGTCTCGTGTGCTCGGGAACCTAATCAGCGTACCGGAGACACGCCGACCTGCGAAGATGCACGTCACAAGATCCTGGTAGAATCAGGCAGGGGGGGGACAATGCCCAAGCGTTCGTCGTAGAACAGTCTGAAGAGAAATTAGCACGAGGTGGAAGAAGAAGCGAGAAAGAAAGAGAAGCTCAGTAGTAAATAAAGTGCGGAGTCGTTTTGTATTTTGTTCATGGGACTTTGTCCTCGTATGATGATAGGAGATGTATCATCACAGCAATGGGAAAAGAGAGGCATATGTTGGTTATTCACCTTGGTCTTGTAACCTTTCGGCTTGTAATGTCGTAGAGGAGCAAACGCCTACGCGTAATGTCTGGTGTGCTCGGGAAATTAATCATCGCAGACGCGCTGGCTGGCGAAGATGCACGGCGCAAGATCGTGGTAGAATGAGGCAGGGGGACAACGCCCAAGCGTTGTCGTAGAACATTCTGAAGAGGAATTAGCACGAGGTGGAAGAAGAAGTGAGATAGAAGGAAAAGTTCAGTAGTAAATAAATGGAGGAGTTGTTTTGTTCATGGGACTTTGTCCTCATACAGACGAAGACAACAAAGATATAGCATCATATCGGAGGAGGTATACAACGAAAGAGACTGTGGATATTCACCTGTTGAAATAACCGAAAGTGGCAGACTCCCGCGGCAGGACGACTGATACAGTTCATGAACGGCGGTGGCATTCTGCGTCCCGCATCGTAGGGAGTCGCATCGACCGACAAGATATCCAATACAAGCAGGACGCGAAGGTAGATAGGAGAGACTGTGTGTGAGGAGGCTCGGTCGGGAACGACAGCTAGTGATGTACGACGGCAAGCGAGAGGGTACATCATACTCTACCCAAGCAGCGTCGTACGCATCCACAGATGACCAGTGCCAGTGAGACCAAAGCGAGACAGCCTGGAGGGTGTAGGCGACGAAAAGGCGACCATGGTCGTGGAGAGCAAGGGAAATTGGCAATTTTTTTTCGCGTTCTGGATTTTGATCCGCACGTCACGTGTCCGTCCCTTTCCATTCTCCGCCCAGCATTGCCATTCTGTCCTTTAAGTACTTCCGTTCCATTCAACCAATATGCTACTATACACTATTGCTAGCCCACGAACGCAGGTCCTCCTGGGACCGACAGCGAGCCCCACTAGGACTGGAACGTCTATGACACGAATAAGGGGATGAAACGCAAAGTGAATTCGAAAGCAAGAACAACTTGAGATACAAAGCAGCATATCAATACAATCATCCCATCGCGGGCGGTCCTTATGTCCATGACCATAATGATGACTCCCATACGGATTGAACCGCGTCTTATCCTTATCCTTGTCCTTGTCCTTCGGTTTGGCACTGGTAAAGGCAATCTGAGAGCGCTGTCCACCAGCCGTCTTGTTAGAGCTCGACTGCTGCTCTGACCGGGCCTTTTGCACTTCAGCTTCGTCGTTTAGAAACAGGGAATGAATAACCGAAAATGAAAAGAAACAAGAAATATATTAACGTCTCGAATAACCACAGTGATAGGAATATTCGGCGCACCAATTTTATCTGCATACCAGTCCGGATGGAGGTCACTCGGATCCCAACGCTCCCTTGGGAAATTGCTCGCTCGTTCGTCTACATCGACAAATTCAACGAGCTTGGTGTAGAGGTGGGGATTCCGGAATGAGCGGTTCGCCATGAGGGAGTCGTTGAAGTGCCGTGGACTATCGGGGTCGTTTTTGAGAACGTGAAATTGGGCTAATTTGGCCTGCATTGGCATTAGCAATCGTCGGTACTGTAAAATAGTCGAGACACACCTCAATGACCGGATCGCAGGGACCCGTAGGAGGCGGTGGGATGCCCCAATCCACAAGGCCAGGTATTGGTGGTGGCCGGAGCAGGTCGCGAATCTGTGATAACTCGTCCTCTACAGCAGTTGGTGGTGGTGGAGCACCACTTGACGAAGCTATCGGTGCGTCGCCGTCCGCCACTTCAATATCCTCCGACACGTGCGCGCGTGTATTATGGCTCTTGCGTGGCGGCCGTTTTATTATGACTTGCGTTTTGCGAGCTATCAAATCCCAGTGAGCGACTACGCAACGACGACGGCGATGGCAACACGTACGTTCTGAAGCGGTCGCGTTCGTTTCAGTGATAGATCCTAGCGCAGACAGAAAGGGAGCCAGCGGCCAGGGAAACAGGGATGGAAAGGGCGGCGATTAATAATCTCACATTTGTTTTCGCTTTGCGCTCATCGTCCGAGTCGTCGTCGTCGTACGCGACGAGGCCTGTCATCTTTAGTACTGTTGCATGTCGTCGTCAACAGAGTACATCTACCGTTCATCGTTGTGGCTGTGGTCGACGTCGTGGTCAAAAGGTAAGGACAATTCAAACTCCGCCACTCTCAACCAACTACTCCTGTAAAATCATGAGAGATCATACAAGGCAAAAAATTGGTGCGGCTGATGCGCAATAGTTCCTCGTTGACTACATACATTTCCCTCCAGCAGTCGAGAAATCCTGGGAAACCGAGTTCAAAGGCGAATCAGCCAACTTTTTCTGAAAATTCTGCAAGACTATCAAAGTAGAGACCAACATGGGGGCTCATTGGAAAAGGCTTTCTATTCTCGATACGTGACTGTCATTCAGTCGTCTGGTACTGGCAAGTCACGAATTGCTGACGAGGCGTGAAGGAAGTGCATTCACATACCTCTCAATCTTTCGAATGCGCGACGTACGTGTTTGAGAGCTCCTTTTGAGATCTGTCTCATGTTCTGGATAGCCTATCCGCACTCGACATTGGCTTCTTCTTCTCAACGGTTTGCAAGCGCTTCTCTACGGCCTTCTTCAACAGACGCGGATTTGCTTGCAGCAATTGGAACTTCTCTTGCAAGTTAATTACCGTCATCACCACAAGCGTCAACGCCTCGACACGAAATCTCGCGATGCGATGGACACCCCTATGTAAACAGCTACTCTTCCCTGACGCTGAACACCGATATGTCAGTAAACCGTCAAGGAGACCATACGGCTCTAGAACTGGCAGCATATCGTCCGCCACCTCGTTGCTTGGCCGGGCGCTGGTTATTGGCGCCCGAATGAGGTTCGCGTTTCGATGAACGGGCCTCCCTTGCTTTCCTCCACCAAGACTTACGACTTTACTGCACCAAAATCTCGACTTCAATCGTCTCTGCTGTTCTTTCTGCAGCTGCGACTGGAACGCTTAAGGCTATCCGCGACTCCGAGGACTACTTATGGTAAGCTGCATGATCCGGTGTTGTCACTGTTGTGTCTCACAGATAAGTTCAAGTCGTTCTACATGCGCAACGCGGGGAGAAAATTGGTACTAATTGTGTTACTTGCCTGTACGCGATATTCTTTGACTTTCATTTCAGGTATCGAAAAGTCAGGCCGAATTGGTTTCAATGGCGATTCTTTCTGAAAGTTCTTCAAGATTATCAACGTCAGGCCGACTAAGTTTTGGTTACGTTCGAGGCTACTATGGACAAAATGCGATCGTCCCCGATGCCCTCCGCGACCGAAGAGTTCTTGCTGCTGCCAGATGCGGTCGGTTGCACAATCCCCGTCTAAGTATCAGTCCTTTCCTGTTTCTGTGCTTGATGAACTGTATTAGCTAGGAATGAATATTCGCAGCTCGCGGCTTGAGAAATATCGACTTGTGAGTTCTTGGTATCCTGACCTCAATGTTGGGGGAGTCCGGAGTTTGCCGGTACGCGTCTTTTCCATCCTGCCATCATGTCTGGAATCCGCGGCGGCGCTAGTCAAGTAACTCCCTGTTGGAGACCGAGAAATTGTACCTGTATCTGGCTCGTAGAGCAGCTTTCTGCTTGCCATGGCGTCGGTGACCAAGGCGCGGGCGTTCTCGGCTCCTAGCCGCGTGCGGACTCTCAAAGATCAGGCGTGCACTGGCCCCAAGGTGAGGCTTACTTGCTATAGGCCAAGTCGTAGAGTTCCGTTGGAGCATTACTCCGCCTGACAAGGAGCAGCTGGAAAAGGGTATGCCGATGCTTGATCGCACCACAGATATGGCTATCTGCTATGAAAAGGGTGGGTGAGCAACACATCTTCATCTTATTGGACTGAATACAGATTATGATTTCAGAGAACTCCGTCGATTTCTGTTCTCTAGGTATCGCATTTTGGGCGATCCTTCCTCTTAGTTCGGCAGGTTTAACTAAATGATGCCGCGATACGTTCGTACGGGCGCATCTCCTCTAGCAATTATCCCGGTAGGTCTCCGCTATACACACGGTATGCATGGCAACAGACTAACAGCAAATAAGGTACTCACCTTTATCACGATCACACGTCGGTAAATTGCGCCACAGATTCTTGGAACCATTTAGGGTGGTATGTCGGTCTGTTTAACTCGATTAAATCTATCTTCCTTTAGCCGTC